TCTGGGAAAGAACTGTGCAAAGCTGCTTCTAGAAGAAATCTACAGAGTAAGTGCCCATCACTTCTCATTTTAATGTTCTGTTTGGCTTTCAAGTGAACTTGTCATACCAGTATAATGTAAAAATATAGCTTAACGTTCTACTTACATTCTGTTGTTTTCTACTTAGCTGATGTAAGTAGCTAAATACTGTGCTAGGTGTGCCTTAGCATGGTTGCTGAGAGCTAGCGGTGGAACAACTACTGATGTGGCTGCACTGGGGCCATAAAATGCATGGACCACCTTGGTGTGCGGACTCGGTGCAGCCACACACTAATTCCACTGTTGGCTCTCAGCAACCATGGGAATGTGTCTTCAGAGGCCTGGTTGTCTACTGTAGCCCTTTAACAGCACAAACGGGTTCCTTTAAAAATGGCAGCCTTGGAGGGAGTGAAAGCCAGTCTGTAACTCCCAAATAACACACATGGGAGAAAATAGAGGAGAGGAGTGCGATATGGGAAAGGCTTTGACTCCCAAAGTGTATAAAACAGGAGGGTGGCAAATGTTTTAGAATATCGCACGCATGTCTGTATCTTCCTGTGTGTGTGTGTGTGTGTGTGTGTGTGTGTATATATGTGTGTGTGTGTGTATATATATATATATATATTATAAAATCTGTCGCTCTGTCTGTCACTCTGGATATGTGTATCACACTACACACAAGTTAACCACTGCTTTGCTAAAAAATTTTATTTATTTTTTTTAATGGGGAGCCTGTAATGCCAGCATGAGATTTTCAAGCATTGCACAATTTTTATTTCATTTGTTTTGGTACGGTTTGTATTTGGACACATTCCCCAAAATGTTCCAAAACTCTGCCACTCTTTTGCTTTGTTTGCCAACCTTATTGGAAAGGTTTTTTGTTTTCTGACTTTATTCCTTCAGTGTTTTTCCATGTGTCTTGGAACGTGGCTATAATTATAGTTGGGTCACAAGACGGGCCTGCTTGCTGGTTTATAAATCATGGTTCACTTTGGAATCTGTTTTCCTGTAACAAAATTAAATGTGTGCTACATGCTACACTTTTTATTGATAAAGTATCTGGTGTCCTTACAATGCTTGTACCTTAGGACGATCTGTTGGATAATATCCTGCATGGAGTGCAGCTATGGATTAGTAACTCTTGTACAACAATGTTTTATTTTGATAGTCTGTACTTTAACCCCTTAAGAACACGTGACATGTCATGATTCCCTTTTAATCTAGAAGTTGGGTCCTTAAGGGGTTAACCTAGTGAACTATTCTTGAAGATTTTGCTGAGTGAAGAAATGTGAAGATGCTGCTTGCCTCAACTGCACATATTATTGGACGCAGCCATCTTGATATTAACCTCCTTTATCTCCTGTCCTCTTATGAAAATACATGAATTAAACATCTTTGTGAGGTTGTAGCTTCTGTAAGCAGCTTCTGTCCACTTTCCAGTTAACTCCATTTATGTTTTTCTTTTTCCACAGACATTGTATTGAATCCTCACATACACGTAACTACATTAAGGGTTTAACGTCTCTAGCAGTCCAATCTCTTGGTCCAAGCAGTAATGAATGACAATGACGGTCATCTGACTGCTTTCAATCTACCATAATTAGCCATTGTTGGTATGGCTAAGGATGCATGTAGTGGGGACCAGGCTGTGGGCTGCCAGGAACCCACATTCACTATTAAGATGCTAAATAATGATTTAACACCTGAATGGAGGGACAGCGCCCATGGACTACAGGCACTATAATAACTTCCTTAAGATTAAATAGTGTCTAGAGGGTCCCTTTAAACATACATTATTTTTCATTGGGTACTTAATGGTGCTCTTCCTGAGCAAAGATTTCCAGCTAGTGGGAGAAATAAAAATGGCTGTACACAATTGAAAGCATGCCATACATTGCGTGATCATGTGTGTGTCATATATGAAAAAGCAGCTACTTGCTGATGTGGTTATCTTAGAAGAGACAGACTCCTTGTTCCTGTCAGTATATCTCTTAATTTGTTTTTAGGTGATGACACCAGCATGGTGCATTGATAGTGTAGATCTACCCGACGTAGTTTACCTTACTGAAGCAGTTTCGGTGTATAGATCATGCCCCTGCTGTCTCACTGCTGAATTCTCTGCCATTTAGTTAAATTAATTGTCTCTGTCAATACAGTCCTAGCCACACTGACACAGCCTGCAAAAAAATGGTCTAAATGGCAATCAAATGTTAAATTTCTTTAGAAGTTTGTATCTCTATAAATTGAACATTAATCACACAAAGGAGGGTCCAGAAGGCTTTTAAGTCCAGGAGATTCAACATTCTAAATTAAACAGACTGTGCAATAAAAGCAGTATCAACATTAGATACCTATTTATAGGAAGTGTTTAGGAAGGTTAGGAAAGTAAAGTGCTGGGAGGTGTGGCTAGGGCCGCATAAACAAAGTGATTTAATTCCTAAATGGCACAGTGTTGAGCAGTGAGATTACAGGGGCATGATCTATACACCAACACTGCTGCATCAAACTTAAGTTGCTTTCGGGGCCCATAGTGTCCTTTAGTCCCAGGACCCTTAACCCTGCAAAGGTAATTATAGCAGATTTTTAATAAACTGTAATTATTACTTTTGAGAGTTAACTCCACCTCTAGTGGAGACAGCCACTATAGGGACTTCTGGGTTGTTGGGCAACTTTAAATTGCCAAATTGATGCTAGATGTACTCATGTGGGAAATACCAATTCGAGCACAGCTATTGTGCAAAGGAGGTGGCACTATAGCAGGGGTTCCCAACCCAGTCCTCAAGTACCTTTTGTTTCTTCTTTTAAAACACTTTAGACACGACTGGGTAATCCCTAAATCCAGGACTGTTAGGGGGTACTTACTTTGTTTGCCTGCCCCTATAAGCATTTTTTTTTTTTTTGTGATCTGATCCACCTTCCATGATCTACGAAGTAGTGTTTGTACAAAGGTTACAAAATAGCATGTGATTATTTAAACTACTGCCCTGGCTGCAGGCCTCGTCCACCACACTTTATCTTTCAGTTTAATAATTCACATACTTTTTGTTTTTTAGGGAGGCTATGTAGATTCCACAAATCAGAGCTTGGTCCTACTCCTCATGACCCTCGGACAACAAGATGTTTCCAAAGTTCTGCTTGGCCCTTTGTCACCATACACGTAAGCTATTTACTTGTTTAATGTTGTATGCTTTGGATGGCACAATTTCTCAGCATAGCAGAAGGGAAAAGGCTGAGCTGATGGTGGACAAAAGGGAAAGCCGTCCCAAAAATTTTTTGTGCGTAAAAGTTGACTTGATCAATCAACATTGTAAAAGGAATTGCTTTTAATTTATTTTGTTGTTCCTGTCATGGCTTGCAGCTCCAGGTGGCTAACTAGATGTTCTAATTTAACTTTTTGAAGTTAGGCAAATACATTTGTGAAATTGTTGTATAGGGTTATGTTAAACCAGCAGCATACTGGAAGGCAATGGTGACCAAAAGAGCCTTGAGTAGTATCTGCCCTTTATAGCTATGAGGTGGGAGTAAGGGTTAATCTTGAATCTAAACTTTATGAAAGTTAGTTGGCATAAAACTAGTCAAAATGTAAAAAATAAAATCCACATTTTTAAACATCAGATGAAATGACTTTGAAGGCTGTGTAAAAAGATATGGTCTTGACTTATTTCACTCTTAAAAGCATCCCATGCATTTTAGATTTTTTTTTATTTTTTTATTTTTTTTTACTGCCTTTTGTTGGGCAATCTGCCCTACTGGTAATGCATTGATTTCAAAATTCTATATTTTATCAGATTTTACATTTATTTCATAAAATATATATTTAATCTATGTATATCTGATTGCTTCAGAAACAAAGACATGGACTATTCCTTAATTTTGCAATCTGTTCTTAATTGTTGGAAGTAATTAGATCCAAGCAGATGCACTGGTGTCTTTTTTTATTGAGGCATAAAGAATTATACATTCCAATAAAAGTAGTGTACATCTGATCAACATCTCACAGGTAACGTATAGCAAAAAGTAGTGTGTACAGATGAATGTCTCATTTTCATTTAGTAGACTGGCAAATAATATTTCTCAGAAGCAGTAAGAAATAATGTACAAAAGGAGTGATCTCCCACTTAATCTGCCCTGTTGCCCAGAATCTTGCACATATGGCCTCAAAGGCTGTCACTAGACGGTGCTCCATTTCTCCAGAGTTTGGCCATGTTTGCAACAAATGAATGTGCTGATTTATCTTCGCTGCAATGAATTCCGCAGAACTATAGGGCTGCCCCAGGGTGCATTCACTTCGGCCACAAGAGGTGCTTCCTGGGTCAGTGCTGCACACGTTCAGTGTCTCCATCAACTGCATGGAGTTGCTGAACGTTCCTCTTAGAGATTCAGTACATTTCTATGAGGAGACTGACTAGTGCAGTGTTTTGCTGCACATGTGGGTTGGAGAGTTCCCCAGCACAGAGGGATCCTGGCACTGGAGATAGGTAAGTGGCTTAAGGGGTTCTAACTCCTCCAGCCCAGCAGGAGGGGGCCCTGTGGGTGGGGGGTGAAGGGGACCTAATGACCCTATAGAGCCATTATGAAATAAATATCAAAGTATCTCACTCACAAGAGTTTTGTTTTCGGCCAGTGGTTGTATGCTACATATGTGTCCTATTTCCATCAATTGTTGTATGTATATCCCAGTAGAAAACTGGGGAACCAGCGATTTGGCTGAGAATATTCAGTTCCTGGTTGCAGCAGACTGTATACTATAGGAGGTGGATGAAGCCCCTGTAAGTTTTATATGTAGTATCTAATATTAACTGTGGGTATTTAGGACCTTCATTAACATGTTAGTTTTGTGAATTAAAATTACGAGTGTTGCAAAAATAAAAACCTTCCATACAGCTAATTACCTGTACACTATAACAACTGTTTTGTTTTTTAAAAAGTTGTGTTCTACCTTTTTAATGCCATGGAACAGCAAGGATTCTAGAAGTTTGAACTGCCCTTTTTCGGTTATCGTGGTACTGATGCTGTGTATGCAAAAAGGTACAGTACTGTGATAACTGAAGAATGGTGGTGCCATCTAGAGACTGACGCCATGTGCTTTCCATCTCCAATGTAACCTCCATTTTATTGAAAGTGTGCAGAGGCTATTTACTCCTCAAATCTGCTAATGCTATGTAAGAGGAATACAATTAGGTAAATCATGTGAGTTGCAGTGATTGTGACTTTGTTTTATGTAAGATGCTTGACCATTAATGATCTGATAGATGTTAATTCTATATAAACCATAAAACCCCTTAAAGGGACACCATAGGCACCCAGGCTAGGTGCAGTGTCCTTGTCTCATTAGTCCTGTAATGTAATACATTGCAGTTTTAGAGAACATTGCAGGGTTAACACTGCCTCTAGTGACTGTCTTCCAGACAACCACTAAAGGCACTTCCTGCAGTTTCAATATTAAAAACCATATACAAGAGCTTTGATTCAATGTTTTCACTGGGGAAGGCCTAATGCCTTCCAAGTCGCTGGGATGTTAGCTGTGGAGGAGCCCAGTGGATATAGTTGGTCAGGGTTGCAGAGACACTCTATAGCGTTCTTTTAACTTTTCATATTAACTTAGTTTTTAAACAAAATAATTGTATAAATTTGAATTCTTGGAGGTTTTGTATCTAAATGTTTGAAAAAAAGTTTTTAATCTAATTGTTATAGTGATCTTGGACCAGTGACTGCAAAAACCATCACAATCAGTGTGATTTTTTTTTTTTGTATTTTTTTTTTTTTTTAATCTTTCCAAAACTGAGTGATATTTAATTTTTGAATACACCTACAATTTATACATCTTATGATAATGTGCTTCACTACAAACTTTCAAAGCATCAAATGTAATGCTATGTCAGAAATTTTACCTCTTGCTTATATGTATGTATATCCTTTTTCAAATACTGACAAGATTTTTGGACTTGGAAGCATTTTGCTAATATTTAAAATCTTGGCTAAAGGAGATAATGTTAAAGTAACTTATTCAGGCAGAATAATGACGTGCACTCTTTGTGTTTGGCAGGATTGAGTTTTTGCGGCATTTGCGGAGTTTTTTCCAGATCATGTTTAAAATGGAAAGCAAGACATTCGAAGAACGAAAAGGAGCAGAAAAAATGCTTTTGACCTGTGTTGGCGTGGGATTCTCTAACCTTAGCAAGACTATAAAATAACATCCTCGAAATAAAACATGGACATGTGTTGGTAAAGCAGTATCATTGCATGGGACCATGAAGAGAAGGAACAGCCTTTTGGGACATGTCTAGAATCCTTCTTCCTTTTTGAAATATAAAGTGGAGGCCAGGGTTCAAAATCCAACAAAGATGAACTGAAGTGTACAGAAAATATGGTTTTGTGTGGAAATGCGTTCTAGCGATTTCATATTAAAATTATTTTGTTCTCAATATCTTTTAACAGATTTAACTTAAAGGGACACTATAGGCACCAAAACAACTTTAGCTTAATGAAACAGTTTTGGTCTGTCATGTTACTCACTACACAAATCTCTGCCATTTAGGAGTTAAATTACTTTGTTTATACAGCTCTAGTCACACCTCCCTGCACGTGACTTACACAGCCTTCCTAAACACTTCCTGTAAAGAGAGATCGAATGTTTAAACTTATTGCACAGTCAGTTTCATTTAGAATTTCAGATATCCTCCTCTGTTAATAGCTTTTTTTTTTTTTTTTTTTTGGTGCCTATAATAGTCCTTGTGAAATCCCCTATAATACTGTTTGTTTGTTTTTTTTTTGTTTGTTTTTTTTTTAATCTGTTTTCATAAAGCTGCTTAGCATAAAGTGCAAAAATACATCAACATTTACAAATTACATTTGTAATGAGCTGAGTCTACTTCCCAACAAGTAGAATGACCTTTCATTGGAAACAATTATAGTGGTGAAAATGAAAGGAGCTCTGTATATCTCAGCTGCCTGGTGAGGATATGCAAGTGAATAGAGGCTAGCATCCATGAAGGTCTATGGAGTTCATTGATTTCAGGTTTTTTTTTTTTCCTGTTGCCTTAAGCAAATTGGACTTTGAATATTCATTCTGACCTAGAATTTGTAAAAGCTGATAGAGAAACTGTTTATAATAGGGTTAATCCAGCCTCTAGTGGCTGTCTCTTGACAGCCGCTACAGGAGCTTGCCTGCTTCTCACTGTGATTTTCACAGTGAGAAGATGCCAGCATCCATAGGAAAGCATTGTGAATGCTTTCCTACAGACTAGCTGAATGCGGGTACAGCTCCGGCCGCGCATTCAGCCGAAGAGGAGGAGAGCTCCCCGCCCAGCGCTGGAGAAAGAGGTAAGTTTAACCCCTTCCTCCCCCAGAGCCCGGCTGGTGGGGGGCACCCTCAGGGCACTATAGTTCCAGGAAAACGAGTGTTTTCCTGGCACTATAGTGGTCCTTTAACATCAATTCCTGTCAATTCCTATGTTGGTGAATAAGCCGGTCTGTCTTTTGTTTTGTATTTATAAAATCTCAACTGCTACTGGGGTTTTATGCAGGCCCCCTTCAAAATCAAATTCAGCATTAATCAGTACAATGTTGCAAATACAGAGAAAATTAAGCCTTTGGTTCAAGCTTCCTCTACTTCTGCTCAGCAGCAATATTTATAGCATTCATCAGCTCAAATACATAAACCTAGAGAAAACTACCTGTGGATTACACTAAATCCCCATGCACTTTTAAACAGGAGGTTAAATGTAAGCTCACCTGCCACATTAAAGGAGAGTCCCCTTGTTTCGGCTAAAAAGCAAACTCAGAGCTATGAAGGGGTATAAACACCTATACAACTAACTCTTAATTGGACACACATGGGGTGGTGGGCAGCAGCACTGTAATATGATTGTGTAATAGAGAATCAAATACACACAATAAATCCCTGCCTGAAACTCATTATTTTTGGTTGGCACCAATGTCCATAGTACTCATAAGCCCAAATTCTAGTAACAGAAGTAAAAACATTACCTGCATATTATGTCAAATCCATATTCACATTTAAATAACATGGTTTCAATGCCACTACAATAGAACATTAAAGTGTAAGCTCGTATATTAGCCTGTGGTAGTTGCCTTTTGCATTAACACAAGATGGAAGGGTTTTGTTCCAATAAAAAAAAAAAAATCTTTTACAACTAGAGGGCACTGTTGTACTATAAGATTTATCTTCTTGTGGTTCTGTTCTGCACTAACTGGTATTTTACTGTGTTAGCGCATAGTTGTTACAAGTCTGCTCTCTTTTTTTTTTGCCAATTTGTGAAGACTATAAATGTCTTTCAGTTTATTCTACCAAAACGGGTAAGTAGGTCAGGGTGATTAATGCTTCAAAAATGTATTTATTTTTGTTATGTAATAGATTGCAACAGTAACTGAGAGCCAAGACTGCCTATTTCGAAAGTATGTAAATTATGGTTGAATATTTTTGTTGCAACTAGTTCCTGATTATAGATTTTGAATGTGAACCAGAGACGACTGGAGCATCAGTCACCTGAAATGTTTCCTATCCCTTCTATCTCCTAGCTAGTATTATTTGTTTATTTTACCACATGATTATTATTGCCATTTATATAGCGCCAACAGATTCTGTAGCGCTTTACATTATTAGAAGAGGGGGAGATTTAACTATAAATAGGACAATTACAAGAAAACCTACAGGAACAATGGGTTGAAGAGGACCCTGCTCAAACGAGCTTACAGTCTATAGGAGGTGGGGTATAAAACACAGGACAGGAAATAGCAATCAAATAAGGTGGGAGTAAAGCAGAGCGAGTAGAGTGTTGCGCTTTAGGAGAGAGCAAGGGACAGGTATGTGAGGTAGAGGTTACTCTGGGAGGGCACAAAATGTCCAAATAATAGAGTTCAGAGGTCAAATAAGACTCAAAAAGATTTCCAATGTAGATGTAAATAGATACTTGCCAGAGGTTTTTTTGCAGGGTTCCTCTATATGGGTGTTAGAGAGGGTCAGCAGTGAATCCGTATGTGAAAAAAAGAAAGGAAATGATGGTGCAGTGTGTATGTATGTATATATATGTATGTATATATATATATATATATATATATATATATATATATATATGTATGTATGTATATATATATATATATGATATATAAAAAAAAGTCTAAATAAGCTCTATAAAACGTGAGTAGGACTATAAACTAGCTCCAGTGTGGATGGCGTGCAGTAGTACAATCCCAACTTAAAGGATACGTGAATATAGCGTCTCAATCGGATGTGGACCATAAAATATATATATTTTTTTAAAAAACAACAACAATAGTGCTCACAGTATAAAACTCCAGGAAGAGACAGGTATGTAAGGAAGAGGTTACTCTGGGATGCCATAAGCTTTCCTAAAGAGATGGGTTTTAAGGCACTTCTTAAACGATTGAAGACTAGGGGAGAGTCTTATGTCGATAGGCAGATTATTCCATAGGAATGGAGCAGCCCACAAGAACTCCTGTAAGCGGGAGTTGGCCATACAGGAGCGGACAGGAGAAGATCGCAGGCAGAGTGGAGAGACCGAGAAGGGTACCTATGGATATGTGAAGAGATGTGAGGGGCTAGAATTGTTCAGTGCTTTATGGGTTAGCACTTTGAATTGACTCCTATAGGATACAGGTAGCAAATGTAAGGACTGACAGAATGGTGAGGTGTGAGAGGACCGACTAGGGGGAAAATCAGTCTGGCGGCAGCATTCATTACAGACTGTAGCGGGGCAATACAGCTTTTGGGAAGACCGATTAGGAGAGGGTTACAATAATCCATGTGGGAAATTACTAGAGCATGGACAAGCTCCTTGGTAGAATCTTGCGTAAGAAAGGGGTGGAGGCGGGCTATGTTTTTAAGATGGAAACTACAGGATTTGGCAACATACTGGATGTGAGGCCAGAATCAAGTATGATGCCAAGACAGTGCGCTAGCAAGGATAGACTTATATGGATACCACTAACTTGAAGGCAGAGCGAAAGAGGAGGATCCGTATTAGGAGGAGGAAAGACAAGGAGCTCAGTTTTAGAGAGATTAAGTTTCAGAAAGC